GGTTCAGGTTCATAGGAGCAGCTCAAGGCTCCCTGGGTCTGAGACCACTTGTCACAGCTGAAGTTTCCCTCTGAGGGTGGGCGTGGGGCCCGGAGTCTGTCTTCCTGTGGCAGCCACTGTGGCGTTGGCGTACCAGGCTGATTCCGGGCGTGAGTGTCCAGGGAGATGACCCGAGACCAAGGTTGCACAGGGGCACCCAGCCAGGGACGGGACACGCCACCCACCCTGCAGCGGTCCCACGTTCCTGGGGCTCTGGGTGCTGGCCTCTCGGTCCTCACGCCAGTCCTATGAGGTGTGTGCATCACCCCCATTTTACAGATGAGGAAACTGAGGCACAGAGCCGTCCAGACTTGCCTGCCCGAGTGTGGTGGAGCTGGGGCTGCCCGGTGGCCGCACAGGTGGAGGGGGTGGGACCGGCCGAGGTGGTGTGTGCTCAGCCTGGCTCCCAGCAGCCTCTGGGGCAGCTGCTCAGGTTTCCTCCCAGGCAGAGGCAGCCCCAGGGTGGGGCACCCTGTCCCCTGCACTGTGGCCTCGTGAGGGACCATCTGGAGGTGAGGACATGGGAGCCTCACCCCAGATCTCCAAATTGGAGGAATTCAGTCCTGGGGATAAAGTCCCATTCACCCCAGGACCTCAGTGACAGTGCGTGACTATCTGCAAATTCCTCAGACCTCGGCCACACCCACTAATCTCTCTGAGCCTCAGTTTCCTCTTCTGCGCCCTGGCAGGCTCAAGCTCCCTGCCCAGTCCAGCCTCCTGGGAGACAGGAAAGCCTCAGCCCTCAGGCTGCTCCCCCTTCCAGCATCTTCTATGGGTTGGGAGCCACCCCACCCTGGGGAGCCTGTGGGCAGCGCCGGGCACAAGCCCAGGGAGGGTCAGTGAGGGGCCAGCGAGGGGTCAGTGAGCCATGTCCTGGGCGGCCTGGTGACAGGGCTCAGGCAGTCCAGCCCTCCGAGGGGTGTGTCCTCTCCCAGGGCGCCCCTGCGGCGGCTTGGCCGGCGCGGGGTCTGTGGCCGTGTCCCCAGGCCTCGCCAGCCGCATCTTCAGGAGCTGACGCTGGGCAGACGCCCCGGTGGAATGCCGCCGGCTCCTCTCCCCTCATAATGTGTTTTTTTATAGTCAGGGGACTGATTGTGCCCTGGCGGCTGCCAGCTGACTGTGAGCTCGGGATTAGAGGCCTGGCCTCTGTGGGAGCCGTGGGCGGGGCACGGCTGGCTGGGGGGGGCTGAGGCGGCCCAGTGCTCTGCCCAGCACCCTGGCGGGGAGCCCCCTGCGCACCTCACGTGTCCCTAGTGGGCGTCCGGCTTGAGCCCACTTCTTGGCCCCTCTCCGGGCCTCAGTCTCCTCATCTCTGCAGCAGCAGGTCACCAGTTGGAGGCATTGCAAGGGTGAAGCTCCAGCAGCCGAGAGCACTGCACCCCCTTGTGCCTGGGGGCCCGGGAGCGGCGTTGCCAGGGGTGGGGCTGGAGGAGCTCAGGATGGCGGCAGAGGCCTTAGCCCGGGCTTACCGTCCCCCCTCGTGGCCCGCAGTGGCGCCCAGGGAATTTCCCCTCGGGAGCGAGTGCCTTTCTTTGGGCAACGGACAGAGGGCAAGAGCCCCAGGCATTCTTGTGCGGTGAGGCCACCCTGCCTGCCAGCCCCACGTGACCCGGCGCCCCATTCACTCCTGGTGAGGGATTTCATTCACCCGGCGGGGCTGCGGCCCA